GCTTGGACTTGCCCAGTCCTCTTACTATAAAAACCCAGATATGGTGCATAGAATGTAACCTATTTCTGTTGCAGGGCTATTCTCCTTGTGAGTATTAGGGACAGAACTGCTCCTTAGAGAGCTAAGGAGTTGTCCTGATAGATCACATCCACAGTGTCCTGCTCACTGCATGACACTTTCTCAAGGTGACCTGTGCTACAGTGGGTATATGTACAAAACTTTTTTGCTGCAACTAACAGTTATTTTTATTACTGACCAATCTGCTGATTATTTTCTTGACTAATCAATTACTCATTTAGTCTATAAAACAGTGTGATATTGTCTGTCACAAGTTCCTAGAGTGCACGGTGCCATTTACAACAGAACAGGACTATTTGCTTTGAATCTAATTCATGTATGTCTGTTTTATATCAATTCCAAAAATTTTTACCGAAAAAACAAATAATATACAAAAACTTGCACAAATACAACCAAGGCTATCATTAGATGAGTAGACACCAGCAATGGTAAATGTTGGGTGAACTCACCTTTAAACAACATTGCAGGTCAAATCTTTTCATTCTCATGTTAGTTCTTCAAGGCAAAAAATAAGTATTACACTGACTTTTAAAAGGTTTGCACTAATAACTCTCATTACACATACATTTTTCAATTTGGCAACTAATTCAGGAAAAGTGTAAATACCATTTGTTCTTGGTCTAAAAAACTGTGCAACTTTGACTGACCCATGACCGAGAAGCAGATGGGATGAGGCCCTAAGAAAACTGCTCTCCTCAATCTTTTAACACTTTTTCATGTGACAGACTGAGATGTGCACAGTACTGTAGCATCCTCAAACATCTACTGGGCCTATATACAGTCTGGAACAAATCTTTGTCTTACAGATAAACAGACAATGACAGTGACCTAATGTGGCAATTTCACAACCAAAGGGCAAACAGAGTGTGGCAGAAACTCGCGTTCTGGCTTTTTTAATATGACATTGTGCGCTTTGACATTTACTGACCAGGCAATCCGTTGACTAGCCCTGGCCTCTCGTCATCGTCTTCCTCCTCAGGGACTGTGCTGTCCTTCCTGTCCATCATACTGACTGAGGTGGTACGTTTCCTGGGGACCTCACCACCATAGTCTTCGTCAAACAGCACTTGATCCACCAGGTCAGGCTGAACCAGGTTGGGCTCAGCCGGAGGTTTCGGGGTCCCATAGAAGTTGCCTTACATAATAAAGGAAGGGGGCAGCAGAGAGAGGAAGAGAAGAATAAAATGATTCAATAACAAAGAGATAAGGACATGAATGAAAAAGGAACAGTTACTGTACAATGTCTTTGTATGTGAGGTGAGGGAAGAAGACTGAGTCAGAGACCGACCATGTCTAACATCACTCCAGTTCACCTGATTTAATGATTAATTCTCTAAATGTCACACACCGGCACTCAAGGCGGACTCTGTACAAGTTTCAGAGGTGTGCTTCCTCTGCATGATGTTCACGTCTCTTAACCCCCTGCTTTGTTTCCCCTCGATAACTGCACCACAGGGTTGTCATGACTCATGTAACGTTAAAATCACTTCACTTCACTAGAATTTGCCAGCAACTAATTACACTGATCACTGAATACAGCAATTATCTATTTCTCAGCTTGCTTTTTTTCTTAATGAAGAAAAACCTTGTGTTACGGATTATAAATATTCAGTGGGGTAACGGTGCTCCATAAAGAGAGGGAGAGAGTGGAAAACTTTGTTAAATTATTTGCTCATTTAGCTCGTGGGGTGATCAATCTATGTGTGACTGGTGAGGAGTATGTGAAACTCAGTTTAGGCGTGGAATAAGTAATTATTCAACCTCTATTAGGAGTATAAATAATGTGCAGGGTAATTTATATCCCTACCATTTATTATGATTATATGTTAAATTCGGCTCTGTCAGATGTGTTTACGTGATAAAATACCAAATTACAGTTTTGGCAATCCATTTGTAAGGTCAAACATTTACTTGGTTCTCACAATAAGCAATCATCAGATTGAGCCTCTGCAGCAAAATCATTATAATAAGATTAATTAAAGAATAGGAAGAGATACCATTGGGAAAAGGGGAATTTCAGCAAATTAATTAGTTTCTATAAACTTGATCTTATTTTCATGTGGACCCAGCTGCGTATTAGAACATGGTATTATGAACCTTTTGTTGTACTTAAGTGTGAACATGCAGACATCACAAATGCTGTACTATATGAGCAGCATTTATCAACTCTGGATCTTTTTATAGCTTGGTACAAAGAGGGAAAGCTGACAGCAGCGTGCATGCCAGCAAGAACAGAAGGCTCTGAGGAAAACAGTCATTCCAGCAACTTTACAGCACAATACAGTAACACCACAGCAGTGTTTTTGATAAGTGAGCCCATCTCGAGACGTGCCAACTACAATGCACAATAAATTGCTTTAATGCAGCAACGCTCATCTTCCTCAATGCAGTGAGAAGGTTAAGGAGGGCCATGGAGGTTGGATATAAGCCTGCCCCCTCCCTTGTTGTCGTTTGACTTTATATTTACTAAGCAACACTCATCTGCATTTGTCAAAGTCAGCTTTATTAAAATGGGTGGCACAATAATAGCAAGTAGAGATTGGGTCTGCTGGCTAATCACCTCCTGTCTCCTGCTACACCCTGACATTCATCAGCCTCTGTGATTAATTACTTACAAACATGTCTCTTGACCCCTAATAGTAAATATGTGTCACAGATACACAGAAGAGGTGTGAGAAAGCATCGCGTCATCCAAGATTTGTGGTACCATTTGCCATTACAAATGTACGGAAGCCCCATAAGCTCATGAGCAGGGGAACTTGTGAGACATTACTCATGATCCCTGAGTCACAGGGCTGATGAGCCAGGAAGAGTGAACAATTTCATGGTGGTGGAATTAGCTACTGGTAATGAAAAGATTCCTCTTTTCATGGGCACAATGCAAAAGGTACACAGGTTCCTGCTCACTCTTTCATCCTGCCACACAACCATCCATACCACACATCGCTACTCGTGTTTGAATTCTGAACTCATATCCGCACCCAGTTTAATCTCCAGGTCTATTTCCCTTCTTCATTAAAATCCAATTCATTATCACAATGGGGGTCCCAAAACAACAAGTTCGAAGTGGATCTTGATTTGGCAGTAGATCAGAGATGCAATTTGTCAGAAAATGTGCAGAATTGCATATCACTGGCAGCTGCCCCTCCTGTCTTTCATTTCATTGCACTGGACTATTCAGTTCTTGTCAGGCAGCTCTGCTCTGTTCTGAAACGATGACCCAACGTGCACCTCAGAAGCATACACACTGAGGACAGACCAAAAGCTCAGAAAGACTTGCTGTCATTGCCTGGTGCAGATGGCTGATGTGCCTGCTTGGCTGGCAACCTGGGACCCTCGGGACCAACATGGACAAGCCATCGTGTACCCTACCGATCAGAGAGCAGCTTTTCTTGAAGTTAAACAGTTAGGGTCATGGATTGCAGGATGATTTAGAAAAATGTCAAGGAGAGTGTGTTTAAGTTGAACTGATGTGTACAGTGCATTAACTAAGTCCCATAAAATATTTTTAAGTAGAGAAAAACTGTTATACATGCACCATTAGCATAATGAGCATTCAGGCAAGTCATTTGGGACTGTTAGTTAGACCATTATGATTAGCTAAGAATCCCATTAGCTTAGTACCTTGAGCACAGCTCATTTACTGTATGCTTAGAAACTGAAGGTAATTCATGAGTTCTTCACAGAGGGAATGTAACCCATGTGGCTTACACAAGAGGTCACCTAACCTTGCTTTATTTTTCCTATTTGGGCCTGAAGCACAACTAAATGGAGTAAATCCCATTCGTTACAACACCTCTTGGGGTTCACTATGCTGCTGAGAGATCAACATGTGCTGACTGGGTTTAACAGGAAGGGACAGTTCTCTCTCAAGGATATTATACTGAAACCTTCCAACTTTTGAGAAGCAAATCCACACATCTGCGTGAAGCCAAGCTAGTCCTGCTTCCACTGCAAAGGGGGAGCTCAGTACGCCTCTATATCAACTCTATCTGTTGTATGCTCTTTCTTGGCTTGTTCTCCTTTTCTCCCTCTCTACCCACAGTCAACCTCTTTATAAAGGTGGAAATCCCACCTGGCCAGATGAAGGATAATTTGTGGGCGACTTGGCAGCTCCTGAAACCTGATCTTAGAGGCCTTAAATGATCTGTCCCAAAACATGGGGGGGGCAGGGTTTGCTCTGTGTGCATGGATGTACAAGTGTGTGCTCACAAGTGCGTGTCAAATGTCATCACTGCCACCATGCTACAGTGATGAGATTACAGAATGGGGCCATGCCACCTTATCACAGGGATCAGAGGCTATTAGACAAACCTGTCTCAACATGCCTAGATCACACTTCACATTCAACTATGCACTTCAAAATCCATAAATATCAACACACACACACACACACACACACACACACTGTGTTTTCATTCCTTGTGGGGATTTTACATCGACTTACATTCATTTCCTGCAGACTTATCCTAAACTTAACCATAACCACCACTTGCCTAACACCTAACCTTACACCATGTTACCACCCTAAAATTCAGTGAAGTCCGAGTCCCCACAATGTGAGTGTGTTAACAGGTTTAGGTACCCATAATGTAAGTAATACAAAGGCATGCGCACACACACAAACCTCTCCCAACACTAAGAAGCAGAAATGTTATTGTGCACACCCAGAGGAAGCTGTTTTCAGCCATAAGGTCCTTTCTCTCTGAATGAGAATTTCACTTTATCTTTCATTCTTTGTCATATGGAAAGCACATAATGCAGCTGAAAGGGAGATTGTGCAGAAAACACACATTCACATGACCAGAAGTTGCCCCTCAATCACTGAGAAAAATCCTCTCCCATTTCACAGCAGCCTGGATTTGCAGTAAGAAAGAATAAGCTTAAAGAGAGCAGGAAGATTATCATGTTATTGCCATAATCATTATGCAATGTGAAAGAAATTCTCTGCTCCAATCCCATCATGACACAAATACATTGTTAGCACCTAACTTTCAAAGACCTCTGAATGCAGGGCAACGTCTTGTGCTCCACAGCAGTATGTGTTAGGAATGGCAAAAACCTAGCCATTTAGCTATTTGCCAAGCTGAAACACCCCCCCCCCCCCCACCCCCGC